TGGGATTTTTTTCTTTCTTCTTTGAATATGCAAAAAATTAAAAATTACTCACCAATAAATTAATTAAGCACTAGAGTTACGATTTGAGACAAGATCTCAAGGCACTAAATTTGTTAAATTTATCGTCGCTTGGCACTAAATAACACACAATAATTTAATAATTCAAATGCGTCCGTAGAAAATACAATTATAAATTAAATATTTATTAATTTAAGTAAAAAAAAATTATTTTGCAGCACCAATTTAATTTTTTTCACGCTCGCTCGATGCGCATGCAAATTCAAGTTTTACAGAAAAACTAGGATAACGGCAGGCGGGCGCTTGTGTGACTCAGGACGTGCGGTCCATGTATGTGCGGCGAGAGTCGTGGTGTGCTGGTGGTGCCACGGAAGTGTCGAACTTGAATGAGCTACCTAGCGCGTACGTGCGGACGAGAAACACAACCACGCCGCCGCTCACTTCTTCTTCACCACGGCGCGGCGCGAACGGGAAACGCCGAAATGACTCGGCTACAAAAAGCGCACGCGATGCACCCATCAGCCGGCGCGGGGGTGGGAGATGCATTTTGATATTACATTTATTACGATGACTACAACGACACTACAAGCATTATATGCACACACAGTTTACACACGTTTTATGTATGCTTACAGCGTACATGCTTTTTTAGGGCATGCTGCATGAAATGAAACATACAGGAACTATTTTTAATTCAGCGTTCATTGATTTTGACGAAATTGTTGACTCATACTTTTTGTTTGCATTGGGCACAAGAACGACAATAGAATTATGGTTGAATTAATAGTTAATTTTAATGAGAATGTTTTTTTTCTGTCTTTTTTGTAAGTTGTGTGAAGGTTACTTTAGGGTTAAACGAATATAAACGAAGATGAATTTCTGTCAAAAACTTTTGACATTTAACTAACCTCAAAATATGTCACAAGTTTACACACTTACAGCAACTTTAGGAAATATTTTAAGCAAAATACATTTGTTTTAAGAAAAAACAGGTAAAATATTGTCAAAATTTCTAATAAAACCAAAAATTGCTATTATCTTGAACAAATCCTCAGCAAAATACCAAAAAATTCCATAGATGTCAACGTCTAACGATAATAAATGTGAAATTGACTACAATTGAGATGCGTACGAGATACAAGCCCCTTACGCATCCAACCCTCACCACGTGGACCCATCAATGCGACCCTCATCTTATTTATTGCCTCTTCAAATCACCCACCAAAAAAAATTCCTCAAAAAATTTAATTTTTCACCATTTCTAATCAAAATTTCATCAAAAAATACAAAATAAACAAGAAAAAGTGCAAATATATTACGTTGTTGTGTGTGCATAGTGCACATAAACGTAACAAAACAGGAAACGCATATTTCTTCACCACCCCCGCCTCCCCAACAATCAATATTGGTGCGGCACACGTCTCGTCTCGTGAACAGGAGGGGTGGGTCCTGCTGGGTAGGCGTCTGGAGCACCAAGCGCACCCCCAGAGCAGAACAAACGCGTACTCTACTCTACCCTGCACACACACACACCCAAACATTTACCATTTGGACTCGTTTGTTATATTTTACGTATGCACCCCAGGTTTTAGGTCAGTTACCCGCCTGGCGTCGCCGCCAACTTGGCAGGCAAGTCTCTCAATCGCCCCCTGCGACGCTGCTATATATCCCTACTCGGCGAAAATATCCTCTAGTAATAATCAAGGGAAAAACACGGGGTAGTGTGTAGTACTGTAGTGTATAGTGCAAAGCGACATTCTCGTGGTCCTCGACGCGTGAAGCAAATATTTAATGTTTGTCCACAAACATCTTCATGAGCAATTCATTGAATACGAAATTTAAACGATACGCAAGAATGTTTTATATTAGACTAACTTTTGCCCGCGACTTTGTCCCGGTAGTGTTTAATAAAAATGTAATTTTTTCTACTCTCTTTTTCTAGACATGGTATGTGTCAATTCTATCAATAAGATTCGCAATTTTATTTTAAAGAAATTAATTATATAAAGAATAGCTAATAATGCACTTTAGCGCGCCATCTCGGATTCAACTATTTAACTATAACTATGATTGAATCTCAATGCCAACTTTTATCCTATAGAAAAGGGCTGTCTTTAGGGTTTTCCCGGCAATTATTCGAATTTTTCTCGCTGTAAAAACCAACCTTGGACTTTAACAAACATTAAAAAAAAAGAATTGGTCAAATTGGTCGAAGCGATGTTGAGTTATGCGTTTACAAACATATTTTGCAATTCATTTTAATATTATAAATATTATAGAAAGTCAAAAACGCCATGTATGAATGAAACCACATACACAGCGTCGATGGTAATAAATTTAATTTACAACCATCCGTGTAATTAACTCGCGTGTAATTAAACTAAATAACAAAATAATGCCCCGCCCCATATGGATACCGACCGCCATCAATGAACTGTTGTTGTCGGTCGCGGCCAACACTGAATATTATGCAGATTTGGCGCGCCGTGCAAGACATAATCCATCATTATCGCTATTGTAGGTTAATGTAAACGCCAACGGTCGGAGCAGTTGTATGTTGTGGATTAAGTTGTGTGTGTGTGTGTGTGCATCGCCCTCGTTGCGCGCGCGTATAAATTCGATATAAAAAGCAGCGGTGAGCAATTAAAAAAAAGCACGCCCGCTCGTACGCGCTCAATCATTCACGTGTGCGTTTAAGCATGCATGAATGACGTGTTTAAACGCTGCGAAATATTATTGCGAGCTTTTCAGTCCGTACGTCGTCGATTTCGCGAATGCGAGTATGCGGCATGCAAATTGTGAAAGCACGCAACCGCCGCCAGTGATAATTAATTAATTATATCAAACGCAAACCCACAACGTTGTTATTAATTTATATTATCATCACCCTCAAAAGTAAATATTTAAATTTCGACCTGTTTTTGCCAAAAATTTGCACATTCGACTGCACATTCATATTTTATTTTATAGCGAAAAATGTTATTTTTCGGCGAAAAATAAGTAATATTAATATTAATCATTTTTGTTTGTTGTGATGGTGATGCATGTTGTTTGATAAATGTTTGAATTCAGTGTCAGCGCAATGATGAGCGATAACCATAAAGAAATTCGAAATCGGAACACGGTATACGGCATTGTTCGGCGTGGAATGCTGAGGCGCATAAATCATAGTTACGACTTAAATGCGGCGATATTCGTTTCCATTACCTACCAGCATAGCTATTATCTAATAAAACCATGTTGTTGTTTGTGCTGTTCTCCGAGAATTAGCTGTAGTTACATTTTGATTATAAAAACGGCGATGAAAAGTGTAACAGTGCAAAATATCTCAATTTATTTGTATTAGGCAACAAAATTTAGAAATTTTAAAGGAATAAATAGTTAATTGTCAGTTTAGAAGCTTGTTTGCTCGCCTAATTCAAATAAAAATAAAAATTGTTTGGAAGAAACAAGAAAATTTTGTTTTAGAAAAATTTGAAGTTTTTTTTCTGAAATAGGTTAAGTAAACGTCAAATTTTGACTTTTGTCAACTCAATAATGACGTCACAAGCATTGTACCAAGCGTAAAGGCGCGAATTTCAAAAATAACTAACTAAAATGTCATTTTTCTCAACTTAATCAACAATTTTTACAAAAATGTCTTTTTCTTTGTGAATAATATCGATTTCCGATCATTAAAGAACAGTTTTTCAAAAGCCGTGTGTTAAAAGTTAATATTTATGTATTTCTGTTGGCTTGTTGAAGTTTAAACCGATTAATAATTCACTTTACACAACAAAACCACTACAAACGTTGATAATATATGCGTTCAAAGCAAAGTTATTCCTCCAACATCAAGTCTTCCTCCAGTTTAAACAATTCTCGCGTTTTAATTGAATTATCGCCGAGCTTTAATTAACTTGTTAAGTTATCCGTTGCCGTCAATTATAAAGTAATATTTCTCAGACAAAACGTTATAAACGCTCCCAGGAATAAATAAATCCACCGGCTTCAAATTGTTATTTATTTTGCACTTGAATTGTGCGGATCTATTGAAAGCTGATTGCAGCCAGCATTTAATAAACTAACAACACACCAGCGAGCCTGGTGAACGTCCATCGACGTCGAACGTAGTGCGCGCGTGGCAGGCAGCGAAGAAAAAGAAAACAAACAAATCAGTTTCGAGCGTCTGCACGTAGACAACACGCCGCTTGTGCTCGACCGTTGCAAAGTCTGTTGAACTATATTTAGAGCAGATAGTCGTTATAATTGCAACAATAGGCAAACGTTATTAGCGAACGCATTTCACCTGGGTGTGCGCGCCGCCTTTCGTCGGCCGTCAGACGCGCTGCGAACAAGGCGCAAGTCGAAACCACGCCAGACGAGACGAGAATTGAAAAAACAAACGCAACAAGAAAATTATTTCGAACCGGAACAGCCAGACACGATGTAATGTAATGTCATTGCGACATGTTTTGGGAGGAGACGCGCAACAATTTCGCATTCAATCACAAGCAGATCAAGCCAATTACAAAACAAGTTATAAGGGTGAAGAAGAGTATTATCACACCCACCCTGCGTGATATAACTACCTTGAACATCTTCAATGCATATTTTTAATTGCACACTTGAAAGCGTGCAGCCACTTTGAAGTGATCAGAGATCAGGGGGAGTGTGCTGCGCGCTGGGGAAAACTGTGCAAGAATAGCTCCGAAAGCCGCCGCGCAGCATGCCCACACGAATCGAGCGGTCGTTAACTCGTCGGAGAGCAATTATTATTATTATAGAATCGTCGAGATGGGGAAGGGAGGCGCCGTCAGAGAGAGAGAGAAGCTTTGAACGCGCGCACAGCCGAGCGCGTTTCTCTCATTATTCAGCGCAAATCACCATTATTAATTAACTGTAACCGACGGCCCGCTAGGAAAATTAATCTCGAGTCATGAGCGATGACCCTAGGCAACCAGATATACACGAAATGTGATATACGTTATTAATTCACTCACCTGGATTTTCATAGATGGCATTGTACACGATGAGGGCGGCATCATCATCCCTCAAAACGTCCCATAATCCGTCACAGGCCAAAACAAGGAAGTCTTCGGTGCCATCCAGAGCGTATTCACGCACGTCCGGTATCGCATTAATAAAGGGTTTGTATTCTGAATCGCCTGCAGTCGCATAATAATAAATATTAATAAAACTCGTATGGGGAATAATTCGAATATAAATTACCGATTGCTCGTGAAACGGCCAATTGTCCATTGACACGCCATGTACCCCAGTAAATGACACTGCCGCCTTCGGCTTCGATCCGCTTGCGCTCGTCCTCGCGATCTGGCTTGTGAGGGCGCACACATTGTTCGACCAGCCCTTGTCTTGCCAAGATCGCTTGCGAGTCCCCAACCCATGCGACAAACAAACTTTTCTCTTTCGGACGCAGTAGCGCACATAACGCCGTCGAGCCACCGGAAAAGTTCTGCAGGGGGAAATAAATTGCGAGCATTAATCTCAACCAGCAGAAAAGTTTTAAGTGTGCAACTTACTTCGACTTTACATTTCTCGATGAACAAAAGGTCCGTCCGGCAAAAGGCTTCTGTTAAGGCATCGTCCGGCTGACCGGCGAAGGATTTGCTTTCGGCGAGGTATTGATGAAGGTGAGCGGCGCTGTAGGCGGCGGCATCTTGTCCGCCATGACCGTCAAAGATTGCATAGTAACTGGACGGACTAACCTCCTATAATATCGAAAGAAACACTCAGTAAATACAAAAGTTTGTAATTTATATTCGTAAAACTTACACTTTTGTTAAAAATAGTGTTCAAATCATGCACAATGACGTGCCTATCTTCCATGCGGCGACGGCTGTTCCGCACCGCATGGTAACTGACCAAATTGTAGGGAGGACCCGGGGACGGCAGCGAGCACAGCATACTGTTGTCCAAATACCTGAGACATATTTCGTTGACTTGTAGTATCACCGATTGCATAAGCTTTAGCGGTTCGTAGGCTAAAAAAAAAAAAACAGCAAAACAGTAACAAATCGTCGGCCATTTTGAATTTCAAGTATTCACCATTTTCTGATGTGTTGAATCCGCACGCGATTGGATCCTTTTTGCAGTTGGTGCGAACTTCTTCGATAATAATCTTGATTAAAGGACTGAGCAAACTTTTTGGGCATTTTCTGCAAATAGAAAACATTTATTATTAATTTCTATTAAAAATACAACCAAAACATGTAATTAAAGTTGCCTATGTTAAAAAGGTGTAATAAAGCAAATAATTTTACAATTTACTATCATTTTTTGGTTGATTTTGTATACACAGTCTTGATATAATACAGTAAATAATACTAAAGTTACAATCAAATTGTAAGACAAGAAATAACTCTTCGCATAGTAAAATTCACATTAAATCCCAAACAGATACACACATTATTCATTTAAAATCATCGATAATTCTTTGATATCACATTGAAATTGTTTTCATTTACAAGTACAAGGACTCTGCTTTTGCTTAAAACCTATTAGACATTCTAGCAAATCTCAATTGCGTCCCAAATTTGGTTATTTCTCAATTAGTTCCCATTACTGCAGGCCACATCAAGTTTTACTTAGCATGACAGCGCTCAGTAAGAAAATAGAATACTGATACATGCAAATACAACATCATCGTCAAAATTCTCCAGTTGTTTTCGTCACACAAATAAAAATTTCCATTAGAAAAAATAAACATTGATTCTAACAATCGTCGCGTCCTGCTTCAATCCAATTGATACTTCAATACAATCGATCTAATCACCAAAGTCAGAAATACTGATCCATTTCTTTGTTCCGGGTGCTCAAACACCGTACAACGCAGCAAGTCGACCTTTGAGTAATGGCGGAAAAGTGCCATAGACTTCCTCCCAGTTGTTACCCATGTGCTGCTTGTATTCCATTATCATGTAAGCAATTTTTTTACGTAACTCAGTCTCGACATCGCTCCAGGACGCGGCCGCATCGCAGAAATAAATGAAATCATCAGCGAATACGTCGGGATTACGCATTATTAATTCGCACAAACCGCGGAATGCATTTTCTTTATCCTCACAATCCGCTACATTCCGAATATTTCGACAGACAGGCCGCATTAGTGTGCGTAAATAAGGAGACACCTCTGTAGGACAAACCAACCCCAGAATACAGAATGTAATCGCAACAGTCTTGTGCATATTCTGCAAACCATCCGTACTCTGCAGAATCTCCGCCACATGTTCAATAATCTTGCCTGCATATGGCGCCATTGCGGATTCCATGGCAATACACAATTTGTTAATCACCCACGCAGCGTTATTACAAGCGCCATTGAATCGCTTATCGAGATTCTCAATAATCAACGGCATAAAGACATGCACATGCTGTGCGACGTACGGAAAACATAGATTCACCATCTCGCCGAGCAGCGCTAGACCCGGCTGACGTACATTGATAGATTTATCTTGTATGGCTCCATATAGTTGATCAATAAAATTCAAATTAACAAAAAAGCTGGCAAACTGTCCTTTCAAAGTACTGCAGAGTGCAACCAAGAGATCCATGGCACCACAGACAAGATTCTTATCATATTCTTCATCGGAATTATCGCCGAGATTATTTTCTGTGAGTATACTCGTACATTTGACATAAACAAGCTCAGCATAGGGAGCGAATTCATCACCGACTGAAATCACCACGTTGGATAAACACTCGCAGATTGCAAGAAACTCCTCTGGATTGTTATAATCATCCAACGTGGTAAATCTATCAAGTAACCTTGGCATAAGTACACCCAAAACACTCGTAAAATGAGAACCAACGCCTTGCGCCAAAACTCCAATGGCGTCGTAAAGCAAAAACAACGAGCGTGTTTTGTAAATATCAAAACCACGCACAAACGCTTGTGTAATAACATCTATATAAGCCACCAGTTTAATCTTGGCCTCCTCTTGAAAGAAACAAAACGAAGAAATAGCCGCACGTTGCACACGCTTGTTATCATCTAGAGAATGCTCCAATAGCGACTTCAGCGTTGCCAAAAACAGCTGATCATCATAAACGATATACCGTGTATATCTACTGAGGGTCCAACAGGTAATGCTACGCACCAGCGCCGAGGGATGATCCATACACTCCAAGAACAGCGGAAGTAAGTCAGCCAAGTGTTTCGCAAGCGAATGGAAGCAGCCATCGGCAATGGCGCCGAAAGCAAGTATACCGCACTCTTTGAGTAGTGCATCTTCAGAGTCAAGATTGGCTAGGATTAATGGTAGGGCGATATCGACGAGTTCACTGCCGAAACGTATCGCGAGTGAGTCCAGTGAAGCTGCGCTGCATTTTCGCAGCGTGCATGCAATATCCGGATCGTCATCGTCGTCCGATGCTTTGGCAAAAGGTTTCACATCCTGGGCGCTGTCCTGAGTATCCAGGTCTTTTCCTAGGGTATCTTTAAGAACTATCAGTTCATAATCAGAATATCTAAAATAAAATTCATTAATTTTTACATAAAAATGGGTAAAGAGTATAATAACCTCATATTTTTAAGGAGAATAGGAATCAACATTTTGAGATGCGCACGTAACATTCCAACACACAACTGGAGTTTGGAAAGCGCCAGCCAAAATTCCCCAGCTTGCTGGGCAATATCCGAATTGTCATCCACAGATTTCGTAATCATGTAACAGATAACATCGTTCATCGCCGGCAGAATAGTATCATCTTGATTATTTACAAATGTGACAAACCCTTGGACAACAGCAAGAATAATTTGTGGATGTTCATCAATCGCGTGCGATATTAACTTCTCCAGATAACCTCTCCGATCAAAATCAGCATTTATCAAGTAATAGTGTTTCTGTAGGGTTTCATTGAGGATTCGGAATGCCCATTTCCTGACTTCCACACTTCTATGTCCAGTCAACTCAACAAAAGTCCCCAGTAGACCTTTTATTGTTCCATCAATTTGAGTGGAGTAATTCAAACTATTCAAGTAATCCTCAGTCACTAAGACTAGAGTCTTCATTGCAGCCTCACACACATCATCATTGCCTGCTGATATCAGATTGAGTATAACTGAGACTATGTTGCTCATGCTTGCAAAGCCTTCCTTCTGCACCATGACATTAATGAGTACTGAGGCACTCAATCGTACTTCTCTGCTGGTGTCACTCAGCATCGCAAGACATTTGTGCTGCATTTGGTGTTTCACATAGACTGGAATGTTTGAGTAGAGGTAAACAATGTTGTTCTTGAGTATGAGTCCAGCCAGTGCTCGTGTCCTGTCATCAAATGTCTGATTGCTCTCACAGACCAAGAGTAGATAACTGCAGAATTCTGGATTTTGCTGTAGTAGGCGTAGATTTTCTTGCACATTGCGTTGGACGACACTATCGGGTATAAACGAGTCCTCGAGCACGGCGAGTACTTGCTTGAGAACGTCTTCTTGCGGCGTCCAATCCATGATTTGCAGGTTAGGTGCTCCGTTCGGATGAGTAACCGATACAAGCGATGCTTGTCACATCAATATTCAGCCATCAAACACGCACGTAACGAAAGAAAACATTTGATCTCGGATTGCGTTAAACACTGAATGCGCACTGGCGATGGACGGGTGCCTAACGCATATCTGATTGATTACGTTTTGTTGGGAGCGCAGCGCCTTTGCAGAGCCGTGTGCGCGAACGGGCGCTGCGTAGCAGCCAGCTCAGAGTCGAATTGACAAACAAGGCAGGCGGCAGGACGTCAGGGCAGGACGCAGGATACACTCGCAGGGCTGGAGGGGAGTAGTGCATATGGCACACAGCGGAGCGTCACACGTCATTCACGAGCAATGATGGTGGCGGATCAGCGCATGATGTTGCGCAATTTGCGTGTTTTCCATAAAATAAAACTGAATTATGTCAATTTCTATAAATTTTCAGGAAAATTACGTCGCATTACTAATCAATAGAGTAATGAAATCAATATAAATTGTATTCAATATTATATCGACAAAGAATTAGAGTTTTTGTGTTCATTTTGATAGAAAATTGATGTTTTAGGTTAATTTTCCGAGCGGAAACCGCCATATTGAATCATAAAACTGTTTTATAGCCGCAGAGAAGTAAAGTTTTGGTTATTTTAAGCCATAAACTTGTTTTTTATCCACATGCACACAATATTTAATTTAATTTAATAGTTTTATATTAAATTATGGCAATTTGTGCGCGTTGCGTGTATTTTCTAAAGGAAAATAACAAATTAAATATGTTAAAAGTGTAAAACACAATATTTTACTACACAAAGAGAAAGAATGATAACACTTTTAGTGTTTACCTACGTGTAAGTATTAAAAAACAACTTTTCGCTCGAGTGCGCAAAATTGAAGCCTATTACCGCAGAAAACAATTTTTGCTACAATCGTTGGCGTTAAATGTATTCATTTAAGATTGTTTCATACGAAAAACAAACAATCGTCGTTTGTTATGAAACAAAAGTGACGAACGCACAAACTTTCCATTTACCAAACAACGCCTATTATTTTCACTCATTAGAATAATAAATTTACAAGCCGCGCAAACCGCTAATTCGCAACATAATAATAAACACAAAACAATTAAATTCATGAATGCATAAAACAAACCACATAAAAATAATACGATTAACATTTAAAAACTATAAAGTACACCATTTGTGGTCGCAATCACATCCTATGATACACGCACAACACACCACCATTTCTAATAATTTATTTATTTATAGAGATCAAACAATCACACCTTCCCGCACAGTCGGCGCGCTATTAATTTAGCAATGAGTCACGAATGTCACATTTGACTCACTTTTCCACGACATTTATCGACACGAATTTAATTTATATATTGCAAAACACGCCCGGATCAAATAGTACACAACTTATCAACAGAAAACAAACTGATGATAGCAACAGCAAACGGATTGCAGACATTTTACACATTGTAAACACACAAACAACTCACACACACACACATCGAATACATTAGATATTAGATTGGGTAGATTTAGATTGATGTAATTACGCTCTTGTGATTATAAAACGAGGAAAAAAGTGCTAACGACACGAGTGAGTGCCGAGCGCCAAGCGCAAAACACCCGGTGCGTGGTATTAGTTTATTAATTATGCACGAGAAATTCTTAACTATACAGGTTACTACATGAAAAACAACTAAATAATAATAAAATCCGCCATTGAAATAAAAATTTGTTTTAAAAATACAAAATTTACGTTGAATAATTTTCGTAATTTTCAATTTTCGTAATGTTAATTAGTCTAATTAAACCCAAACGAGACGAGAATAGATGAGCAGCATTAAGAATACGCTTGTAATGCAATAAAATACAAACAATTTTTTCGTGCCATTATTATTAATGCATGTAATATTCCATCCACCGACCGGTTATTTATATTTTTATGCATAGAAATTAATAAATAAATAAATTGTGCTGTGGGGTGTCTTTGTATTGTTGTGTTACTATGACAACACAATAGTTGTAATCACCTTCGGGGGTAATTTACCACGAAGCAACAAAAAGAATATAAAGAGTCGTTGCATGACTGCTGGTCGCGCAACACGTTATTACAAAAAGCAAAAAAAGAAACAAAAGACGAACGGCGATTGCGCTGCGCTTACTTTTCGGTGAGATATTGCGTGGTCCAATCGATGATCCCGCCGACGACTTCGACGTTGATCAGCTTGTAACTCGCCAGCTTCACAGGTAACTGCTCGTTGGGGTTGACGGTCTTTGCGAAATGTTCGAAAAACTGCCGATAGTCCGTTAGATAATCGTCGCGGTTAGCCATTATTGCAAAGTGAGGAAAACAAAACACTGCGAGTGCAAAGATTACTATACACACTGCCCGCTGCTCGTGGTGCGCGAGTTTCTTGTTAGTTGTGTGTTTTTTCTACGATGTATCACAGGCAACAACACTTGTTTGTCGAGTTTATTTGCACTGAACAATTAGCGGCGCGGTTTCGCGTGATGCTCGTGATCGGGCGGCAGCGTCTGCGTGAGATTCGTTTGCTTTTGGGTGACACTCCGGTGCGAGCGGAAGAGTGGTCGACGGAAATTGCGGGATTGCGGGGCTGGGAATGTGTCATGCAGCAGAGATCTAACCAAACACTCACTCCGACACTCCTCGGCGAGCGCGGCCCTTCTCGCTTCTCGCACGGTACGGCACCGCGGGCGCACACGCACCGCTAGCGTTTTTCCACGCTTCTTCTCTTCGTTGTGCTTACTGCTAATCGGCACGCGTTTTGTCTTGCTCGCACACGTTACGCACCGCTATCTCCGCTACTACTACCACCGCCGCGATTCGTGCACCGTTGCACATCAACGCACATCGTTGGCACGCGCTTGTGTTAGTGCGTTTTTTTGAGCATTTTCCGGATCTTCCGGATAGCGCATCTGTCAAGACTGACAGTGCTGCCAACTATCACGAGTTTTAATTTTGACGAGTGAATAACAAGCAAGAGCAAACGTAAATTTTTAACTGAAAGTATTTTGTTGCTCTATTAGGCTTTATATCCTTTCAGAGGTTTTGTTATTGTACGAAATATGTCCTTATTTGTCAAATCTACTTTCCATTCGTTTCTATTCGGCAAACTTCGCGAATCACATGCTAACTCGTGACACATTCAAAATGGCGGCATTTTCAAGTTCGCTGATGATTTCTAAGTAAACTAATTTAATAAATGCTACCTAATTACATGATCGTACAACTTGTGTCAAAAGTAGGCTCAATTTCACCTTTGATTTCTTTACTTTTAATATTCAAGTAGGTGGCTTCATATTCCTTCTGCATATACTCTGGCAGTGGTTTACTCCAATCTTCTGGAGGGTTCTTCCTCTTTTCCCACACATCATTGTCATAATGTGCTTTCATGCGTTCGAAACGTCTGATTTTCTCACTAGCAATTATTTCTTTCTAAAAATATGTATAAAATTTAAATACCTAACCTTAAAATTGATAATTTGTGCACAATTTTAGTCTTACACCAGCTTTAATGTCTCTGTTGGCTTCCCATTTGTATGAATTATCCAAGTCGCGTTTCCATTGTGTGCAGTCAGTGCTATGGCCATCAACAAAGTATTGTTGAAAGCGACTTTTATTGACCGACAATCGGAATATTCATCATCATAAACTACGCTTGGTCGAATCTACGATTCATTGCCATATAATAATGTAGGTCATATATTAGAACATTAAATATTACCATCCATTCGTCTGGTAGACTGTCTTCTTTAGGTTGAGTATTCTTTGATTCATTTTCAGGCATTTTTAAATATTATTGCAACTAATAAAATGATATAACCTCGACGGAAACAAGTACTACTAACATAGGCAATCAATATTACAAGAACTAAATAGTTTAGTGTCGGAAATTATGGATATTTTTTAAAGATAAAAGTTGATTATTAATTTCACTGTTTTCAATTATCTTTACTAATTATGTGCAATTTGTCTTGTTTTTCAAATAATTTTAAACATATTTTATGATTTGGTATAGGCAACTCAACATACACCTGAACAGCAGTACACTTCCGCATAATGGATTTGGTGGGTCATTTTAAATGCGAAAAGAACGAAAATCTCAATAAGTTCTTGAAAGCAGCTGGTTTATCATTCATAACACGATTGTTTGTAAGATGGTCTAAACCTACCATGGCAGTTTTGAAGTTAGAAGATTTATGGTCGATAACAGTCAGATCCACGTTCTCATCACGTGAAAAATCGTTTCGAATTGGTCAAGAAACTACAGAATTCTTACCAGGAAAAGTTATAAGGGTATTCACACAACTCTCCTAAACTAAACTACCTGAACGTAAACCTATTTCAGAGCGTATCTTCTATGGAAGACGGCAAACTGGTAACAAAAATGTTATTGATGACAAAATTAACACAACAACCTATTACGAATTTGGTCCGAACTCCCTCACAATCAGAATTGTTGAGGAGAAAACAGGTATTGAAGCACGACGCATCTTCAAAAACTTCCGACTAAATTATAAATGTTCCTAGCTATACACGCACAATAGTATTTCTTGAGTTTTATGAATTTTGATCACTTGTGACAATTAACATTGCACTCAGAATTTTTATAACCATTATAATCATGAACAATAAAAGTTAGTAACATATTCGTACGAAAATAGACGAATTTAAAGAATTTATAACACATTTCAAAATAAATTAATACATAATTAATCTGCGGTATTATATTACTATGTAATTTATATTAGCTGTTATGTAGAAATCAAAATTTTATGTGACTTGCTTGAGTAGTACCTGTAGTGCAACCAAAATTTGTTTTTGTTTAAAACACAAATAATAATTATCATCTCTTCCTGCAACTATTTGTCGCAGTAGGTCATAGACGTAGCAAACAAGATCTTTTGTTTGTTCTTCTTCTTCTTTTCTGTCCGCACTTTACGTTGTTATCGCCCACTGCGTCGACATCGTGCGACAGAGAGGCTTTCTCTAAAGCCATCGCGATTGCATCGCTAAAACTGCTGTTGTAAGCCGGCGCCGGGACGTAATCTTCATCTTCGTTATCGCTGTCTACCCTCACCTGCCTTGGCGTGGCTGTGAGCTTTGAGCCGGTGACGTTAATCAAACGGAAAGATTCCACCTGCGAGATTTGTGGAGATGATTTAAGTTGCGGCCAAGATGGTTGTTGGCGCTTTGCAGTTAACATCTTTAAAGAAATAATTACTTTAGAAGGTAATTAGGACATTTAAAGAGAGATTGTTGAATAGGGGACTGACACAAATTAATATAAATTAATAATTTGTGTTAATTATCCTATCATTTGTTCTAGCATTTTGTTAATATTCATTGAAATTAAAAAAAAATCCATGAATTTAACAACAAAATGCAAATATTTTAAAAATTAGTAAATTTACCGTAGCAAAAGATGGTCCTGATACTTCTCCATCACCCTGACTCCGTAAGGAAACAGGTGAAACACTTCTCGACGTAGATAAGGAATCTTCACGCATTCTTTCTTTACCCATCGACCCGGGGCTACTCCCAAACTCTGGAAACTGCACCTGCGACTCTAACTCAATATTCGCCGAAGGAATTTTCCCCATTTGTCGATTTTCCTCTTCATTAATCTTTTTCTCCCTGCGTTTTTCTTCTCTAGCACGTTTCTGACGCCGTTTCTTTCTCAACCCTAGCTGTTCTGAAAACTCATCAGCAGTTTCCTTGTTGATGCATGAAGATTGCAGCTGAATTTCAGCAACTTCAAACTGGCAAGTCACCGGTAAATGCTGCAAATACCGAAAACGATTGCGTAACTCTTCAGTCATCGACCCGCCTTCCTTCTCAACAATGCGTCCGGAGATTGTCTTTGGTGAAAACTCCAGTGAACCGTAAGTATGCTCCAACATCCTTACATTGACTGAATGTAGATATATATGCTGACCATCAGCGGCCTGATAAAAGTAGAAATACTTCATAGGAGGATCGCTAGTTGTTGATGCGAATGATGCCAGCTCACTGGATGGTTGTTCCTCGCCGCTGAGCATATCGCTGCTTGAGCTTTCGAACCGTTCGCGCGGTTTTACTTCGTTGGATAAATTCGCCAAAAGAATATTTTCACGCTCTTGAAGTTTGGCGATAGACTGCTCGATGAAGCAATTCTCTGATAAGTCGATTTGCTCACTGAGCTGAGCCTTCAACTCCAACTTTTCGCGTTCGATGATCGCCATGATATCGCAATTGTTGGCGATCAACAATTTGCAGTTGACATTCGGTGATTGCGCGTCCGAAACAAAGAATGGTTGATCTTCGCTTGTATTGATTGCCGTGTCGATCGGATATGCAATTAGAGAACCGCGAGCGCGCTTCATCAACTTGAACGTGATCGCTTCGTTCACGTTGAATGACGGATGTGAGACCGCCACAACACTGAAATTACATCAAAAACGTTTCTGAATATTGCGCATAGAAAATAATAAAATAAATATGTCGTAAGGGGACTGACACAGTAGAGTATGAGTACACCACCGTGCTAATTATCCATACAGTTGATCTAGCACTAGACAATTTCATCAAGACACAAGAGTACTTGATAAATAACAATCTTGTGCAAATAAACGCTAAGAAATTGAATTAAACACCAACCTTTTGAGGTCTTGCTGATGTACTGCCTCATGGCAGATAGGGCATTTACTCCAGGACTTCTCAGACAATGCCAGGTAGTGTAGAATACAGGACCAACAATAGATATGACCGCAACGGGTCATTTTGGCTGCCGAAGGTGGATACAGGCAGATCGGACATGATGGGTTTTCATTAACTTGCAGATTCTGTAAATTTACATTACCAAAATAAACATTTTGCGAATATTCTTTTTAATAGTGTCTAAAAGCAAATGTATAGCACAAATTATGTTTAATTTATGCTGTTATAATATTTGCATTTAAATTGATTTTCCAAAGGTAAAATTTCACAAAAACTATGAAAGTTAATATGTACTCAACACTTTGGTAAAGATTTAAAAGAAAAAACTTGCAAAATGCTTACAATTTGTTCAATTAAACTCCAGTCAACAAGAGCATCAGGATTGTTCATGTACTGCTTGTAGTCCCCTGAAGATTGCACAATAAATTGACAACTGAAAGCAAAAACATCAAAATATAAATATTTGTAAAAGAATTGCAAAAGTTTTAGCAAAATGTTTAAGCGTTTAAATCAGTCCTACTATCAATGCTCACACAAAATATTCAAGCAAACCCTAAATATGTCATCATTTAATAATATTTTTCTTTTAAATAAATAAAAATAAATATAATTACTTTGCTTGAATGAAATGCTCCTTGTTGTACTTGTGCTTTCCAGTAGTCACCCATTTGTGACCGACATTGGGACTCCTCGCAGTATGTCCACCGCCAGTGTGATTCTCACGTGGCGTGTAATGAAAGTTGAGCAGATGATTCAAACTCTGCTTCTTGCTGCCTTGCACAAAAACGGATCCAACTTCCGGTTCCAGTTCATCCTGTTCTAGCCGGGTTGTATCTCGACTGCCTGCACCGCCAGCATTATTGCCAGGGATGTAGACACCACGTGTGCGCGGGCGTTTGTCGAAACCGCGCGCCCGTTGCGGCTGCGGTTTGCGAGATGGTTCAGATTTGTTGGTCGGAAAACTGCCGCCAGCCGGTTCACGGCGACGGCCGCCGCGCGGCAATTGCTTGCCACCCAGCGCATCTGCAACCAATAGCATCGCACATGTTAGCGAGTATATACGATGATGCACGAACAATAGTCACGACGCCATTTTGTAACGTATTCCGTAATAGGGTATGAGGTTGACTATTTTAGTGACATGCGCTCACCTTGGTTGTTCTTTTCGAATCAGATGGCTGGCCCTTCGCCGATGCCTGATTCGGGCGATTGCCTTTAACTTTTCCATTTCCTCCAGACTTACTTACTAAGGGCGCGCCGGATGATGGGCGTCCACCGCGTGGAGCGTTAGCGACACGAGATGATTTCGTAGGACACATTTTACAAAGCCATGTTTATACCAGTCTAGCCGAAAAAATGTGCACGAACGCTATCGTATTCAATGCGCGTGCAATATACTTGCTGGGTGGAGGAGTGCTTCCGGAGACGGGTTGACCTTCAGGTCGGGGAGCTGAGGACCCCCAGGCGGCTGCCGGACGCGATGGATATCCCTATCAGGGCGAACGAAACTGTCTCGTTCACGCCGCTGCAATGGCGACGGGAATGCACTACGCACGGACAAGTCACCCGGCCAACAAAACACACGAAACAAGCGCATGCGCCATAAAAATCACTTCCGTTCTCATCCCGCACACATTAGATTTTAAAATGTAGCAAACAAATTCTACGTTTTTTATTTAAATATCAACAACAAGTAGCTATATTTAATGTTTTATTTATGCATGTAAATTATATTTACAAATACGCTTTTAGTTTGGGTGATTAATTCACGAGCAACAACGCAAATGAAGATTTAAAGCAACATCACCACTAGTGACGTCTGGCGGTGAATTTGATCACTAATCATAAAATGTCATCACCCTGACCTGTCAGGTGATATCAAAATAAGTAGGAGTCTTGGGGATCAGGACAAGTACGACGTATTTATTTACTTTATTGTGATAGTGAGTATGCATTTCACGCCACGAATGATTGATTAGTGGAAAATCGTCATCGTCGCCGCCGGAGCGGAGCATCAATAATTCAGCGCTAAGAGTGAGTGAATGAACCACACGTCAGCCCAATCAATTCCCGAGCGAACTCGGTCATGTTTCCCATGCCAGTCGAACGCGAACTCTCGTCGAAAGTCGCGACGCTGGTGACCCAATGCAATCGCAACTTTTTACACGATTATTGCGCGCCTAATTGCTCAACATATTGCGCCATAGCTACATGATTACTTTTGTGCTCGCCAGACCAACTCTACCAGCCGCAAAATGGTGCTGACCACTGCAGAGGAGCCGCAGGTGAAGGAGACTACAAGTACAAGTACTGAAGGTGGTGCCACCGAAGGGGAGGAAACCCGTGATGAGCGGACATTTGAGTGTAATATTTGTTTGGATACTGCAAGAGATGCTGTTGTCAGTTTGTGTGGGCATTTATTCTGGTAAGCATTCAAAACTTTTCAATTATTTAAGAAAAAAGAGAGAATTTTGATTACTAGAAACTTGTTTATGAAAAAATCAGGTTTATATGCGTAATTGTGTCAAAATAGGGCTGAAATTTACAAGCAAAATAAAGAATTATCGTATTTTACCGGCACAAAACAACTACACTCATCAAACTCAGCAATTTGCATGTTTTTTGCTGATATGCTGCATATTTTTACATTATTCCACTTTTTTTCCACTGTCTAGTGAATAAAATGATGTTTTGCAGTAAATTTTACTCAATATTGTGACTAATTCATCATAAAAACTTTACTTTTAACTAAAACTTACGTTTTTTTACTCTAAAATCATCAATATTCTAAGTTTCTTTGTATTTTTCTTTCAGTTGGCCTTGTTTACATCAGTGGCTTGACACAAGACCAAACAATCAAGTCTGCCCGGTATGTAAAGCGGCAATAAACAAAGAAAAAGTCATCCCGCTCTACGGCCGTGGCAGTACAAACCAACAGGACCCCAGAGAGAAGTTCCCACCCCGACCACAAGGCCAGCGAACAGAACCTGAAGCTGGCACCCACTTTTCAAGTAAATAACTGGCATTAATTATTTAATTCAGGCATGAATTGAGTTTTCTAAATGATAATTGGCTTGCGTCACGAAACATTTCGGTTTTGTTTACATGGCGTGAAACAATTGCGCAATTACATCTACAAACTCGTGACTTAGCACAAAATAACCATAAATAATTACTATGCATATGTATATAGATAAAAAGAGCTGGATATACAGTGTGTTGATGCTATATTTCAATTTCAGACTTTGGATTCGGCGATAGTGGATTCCACCTTTCGTTTGGCATTGGCGCATTTCCATTCGGTTTCTTCACATCGACGTTCAACATGGGTGATACACGGCCCAGTGCCGCCGCTCGTGGTACCTCGCAGCATCTGGAAGAACAGTTTTTGTCGAAAGTATTCCTATGGCTGGCGGTGATTTGTGTCATTTGGCTGCTGTTGGCGTAATCGACACCGATGATATCATGAAATTTAATGTGGAGACAGCAACGCAGCCCCCTCAGCACGACACCAATCTAACATATGTACTGATGCAGTCCATTCCGCGACATTCGGTGGATGTTTAAATTAAAGGCTTAAATTCTAAGATGGGATTCATTTCTGTGTGTAGGGAAACATACTGTTGACTTTATAATATTGTTCAATCTGATGTAATATTTTAGAAGTTAAGATATTTTAGGCATTTCATTGTTTTGTTTTCCTATTATTTTTCTTCTGTGCTTTTACTTAGTAATCTAGAGCTCTATTTCCTGTTTCGCAGTTATTTTCTTTAGGTATTAGTGATTATGTTTGTAAATATGAATTACTGGCTGGACATTGTAATTATATAACAGAATAAGTGAATATAAACGTAGTGCAATCGAGTTTTAAGACAAATTAATAACAATAGGTAACAATAATTGATTTTTTTCAATCATTTGTCATTAATTGTCATTAAATGTAACAAAATTTTCAGTAATCTCACCAAAAATCATTGAATCAGCTCCATTTTCATCATGGATGTCATATCAGTTAACCAGAAGTTCATTTATCGTAAAGATCCGAGGATTTCGTACGAAGCAGCTGGGAAACAAACATGGCCGGGGTTTATCGGTAGATTGGAGTGTGACACTGATGTAATGTCGGTGTTTCCTTTGGAAATGGTGTATGAGGCACGTTTTCCTGATCCGTTTACACTTTGCGGAGGTGGCGATCGCAGCAAACATCCGCAGAGTGCTGTGCCGGGACCAGGGTCTTCACATGGTGGAGTTATCATGATTGATGAATACTTATACACTACTAGTTTTGATATGCTCTGATATCTGATACAAACCTATTGAATTTATCATTAAAGCATTCTTTCTTTGATTAATTTACTTTTAGTGTAAATTGATTTATGTTTACTGAATCATGTCATACATTCACACATTATTTTCATACAGATTTTATGATTGGCTATTGATTGTTTTAGTATGAATTGTATGTTGTAATTTACAATTCAATTTTATTGTTTTCTTTCACTTGGAATCCTTTTGATGCTAATAATTGATTGCATTCTTTTCTGGTGAGTTGTTCCAGCTTAATTCTGCTTACTTCTGTGTCAGTATTGTCATATAAGACTAATTCTGGTTTGGCACCATGAATCTTCTTGAATTCAACATTGTTGTATTTTGGGACATCTTCATAAATGAATTTTCTTATTTCCGGGAGACGATTTAGTGAGCAACCGGGACAGCTCTATAACAATAGATAATTAACATTATTTATTAAATTTATAGTTAATAATATAATATTTACTCACTTCAATTACTGCTCTGCTGTATAATTCTTCATCTTTTGCTTGTTCAGCAAATGTACAAGCAAACAAAGCAAGAATGGTAATAATCAATAAGTTCTTCATATTTTTTGCTTTAATATTTGCTTAAAACGGGAAGAATATGGTGTTTAGAAGTATTTTTAGGATAAGGAATGCTTTCGTGTAATGTTACGTTTGCGACTTTTTATCAGTGAGCATTAGAATACATTAGATGTATGTACACTTCATATTAGTATGAACTTGGAACCGGAATTATACTCGGATAAACTTGCAAAACAAGTGAAGGTTACCGGATTAGACTCCGGTACTATAGGCAACTTGTTAACGTGTTAACGTGTACAGAATATGGATTTACTTTGTATTCAACGAATAAAGTTACTGCTAGAACACGACAGAGGACAGAAGCTACACTGTTCCAAGCATTATTTGTATCAATTTGTATCGTGCGGTTTAACACGTTGACGCCGGCGTGACCCACCGGTGGGTCACACGTGTCTGCTGCATCGGGCGGCGTGACCCACCGGTGGGTCACGGCATTATTTGAAACGAGATGGAATTCATTTTTGACTACACCGCTGGTTGGGTTATATCTTTTTCTCGTCTCACCTATACAATGAGTGTCTTGCATCTTTGTCACCAAATGTGTCACTCAGATTACATATTATAATAAATAGTGACCGACCGAAATTTCAGTTTCGGCTTCAATTTCGATTTCGGCCAAAAATTGGATGAAACTTGTGGCAGAACCAAAACTCAATGTTGGTAAAATATCGTGTGTCGTGGGCTAACTCGCGGCTAAGTCGTGGTCGTCACTTGTCATCTCAGTTTGCACATAGTTTCGGTCGGACTCTAAAGATAAAGGCATTCATTACAAAGAAAATAAATAAATGGCGACGCATTTGCAAAAACAATCGCTTTTTGCTTTAGCAAGTCATAACAACCAGTGGCGCACAGCTGAATTAATTAGACGGAGTTGAAAATGCTCAAACGCCGCCCGATGCGGCGGACACTCAAAAACCGCGCCGGCGTCAACGTGTTAAGCCGATGCATAGAAAATAGTAGACTGAGGGTGGACATTTGTAATGTGCAACTTGCGCTTAATGAAAAAAGAGGAAGTGACTTAGAGAACTGCGACTAGACTCCTTGGCACCTCAGGCACGACTGAGCAATGTGTTGATTGTAAACGAAAAAAACACCAAATAGTGACGTTAGTATGAGCAATGTGTTCCCTGCGTGCTGGCCTTTTATACCTGCGGCGACCCGCAAAAAGTGGTGGGGGTTAGGTCCACCAATAGCAGGTTACCTGTGAGTACCTGCCAATACCAGGGAAGGGGTATCTACCTGTGACTTCTTCTTAATTCAACAGGTAAATTATATAATTTTTTTTATCAAAAACGCATTTAAAACGTTTTTCTTTCAATTTTTATTAATTTAACGGAAAAGATAATAAGCTTTTTACTGATTAATATATTTCCCCCATTTTTATATGAAAAATACATTTATTATTATAATTTATTAATATAATGAATGCGATTTACATTGTTCGGTAAGTACATCAGGTATTAAACATACATTTCTTTGAAATTTACAAACATCATAAATATTTATAATCTACTACCTACGGGAGTGTATTCACATGTATATTACACAGAAACTGATGCGTGTGAGATTTATTTTACAACGGGAACATTACCTACTCCACCACTACCACTCGTATAATGCGCTTCATAATTTACACGATGAGTCTTTCGTTAAGGCGACATGAAAACAGTAAAATGCACTACGGGCTCAAGCAGTACATTTTCCTCTTTCATATTCGAGATACACACCTACTCCTGATTATATACACTGTGGTTATGTGACATTTATACATTTTCAAGATTGGAACATTTCTTATGCACAAAAATAAAAATAAAAATTATGAAATATTCAATCACAAACACCCTGTTCATCCATTGCCAATTAACCAATAGAATAATTAAGATGCGATACAAAAATATTCTTATGAATCGATTCGATCACAGCATTTTATAATTCGCATTTTTTGCTTATACGTTACCATAACAATTGAAAGTGCATTCCGAAATGAACAAACAAATAAACAAATAAAATACACATTAGATACTAACATAATCACTTAATTTAACATCACATTTTGTGTAGATCTGCAGATGCAACAATTATTTAAGTCAGATAATGATTGTAGATCACATCCAAGACGTTTGTTTGCGGTATTTATAGACTTGTAGGATTAAACCACATTTAGATTTCTTTATTCCATTAACATTTGTTTAAAAATTGATTTAATTATTTTATTTACGCAACATTATTTTAAAATCTTGTTTTTTTTGATGGTGGATTAAGTTTTTAAGTCATTTCTTGAATTTTAAGGGGCGGAACACCCTGTATACACATATGTAATATGTACAAATATTAATATCACACGTGGTAATTTGGAGTATGAATATTCAAATTATTTTTCATTAGTTTTGGTCAGTTTGCATATTAAGGTTATTTACAATACGATGTAATATGTAATGTGTGTTGCCTACATTTCAACTGAATATTCTACAAATGGTATGATATTATATACACACTTGTATCCACATCAATTATTGCTATAACCTATAACCTAACCTAAAATCATTTAAGGTTAAATGTTGTATTGATTGTTCTGCGTTTTTTTTTTTGAATTTTCACATTACACATCAATTTTTATCACGTAAATTCTTTCATCTCGAAAGTAACTCGTTTGTTCTGCGCATGCGTGGGAACCATCACTTCCGTAATCTCTGTATCCATGCAGCTGCTGGTTGGATCGCAGTCAATGTTGCTGGGCACGACCAGGTAGCGTGACCTCTTGTCCTCGGATCAGTCGCACTTGAAGGTGACATTACGCGGCCCCGACACGACAGCCGTCACGGCGACGTTGACGGCGAGCCGCGCCGACAGCGGCGGCTCCGGCGACAAGACGTCACTCTGCCGACATCATTGGAAGTGCTTGATATTAAACTGTTTCTGCCTCCTACGTGCGTAATTCCTTCCGAAAAGAATCTTTTTAAACGCATGGCGAAACTCCGGACTAAATATCGTGTAAATAATCGGATTCAGCGTGGAGTTAAAGTATCCCAGCCATAAAAACAGTGAGATAACATACTCCTCAAAGAGATCTTTATAAATTGGTAGGAGTACAGCCATTACAAAGAATGGTAACCAGCAAATGACGAATGCACCTGTGATAATCGCCAGGGTTTTCGCCGCTTTGCGCTCACGCTTTGAATCCGCTGAATATTTATTACTTTTTCTTTTGACTACGTGTTGCGGCCCACCTGGGTAAGGATTATCCCCGTCTGTAGTTGTAGGTGGATCGTCTAAACCATTAGCGCAGGAAGCTTTTTCTGGACTTGTATTATTCGAAGAAACATTTGTGAACGCAGTGGTTGTTGTTTCGGAAATAGTCGGCAATGGTCGGCCGATAATTGTCACCACAGCTGCAGCTATGCCACCAGACGCGCTCGCCCCAGCTAGGCCACCCGCAATACCGCACATCGCGGGATTATCCTTAGTCTCAGCCGCTTGCGTCAGAATCTGTCGACGGCGGATGCGTTTGCGTGCTGTTTGGAATATACGCCAGTAGAGTATAAGTATAACCATCAGTGGAAGATAGAAGGAGCTCGCAGTTGCGAATATTTGATAGCTGATGTCCTGGCTAACGATGCACTTGTTATCTTCGATGCGTTGACTCCAGCCTGGGTCTTTCCAGCCGAGTAGTGGTGCAATACACACAAGGAAGGCAACACACCATACAATCAGGATCATTATACCAATGCGTTTTGCTGTGCGGTGATGAATATAGTCTATGTTTGTTACTGCCCAGTATCTAAAAAGAAAAATCATGTTTTAGTATTTGTATTAATATTCCGAGTTTACATTTCAGCAGTGTGTCTTCATTAATAATTATTGAGGATTATTGAGTTGCCTCGTTAAAAAACACAACGGAAATGAAAATCGCCAGGAAATTACGGTATAAATCATAATGGCGGATGAAATTGATACTCGTACAGTGATTAACTTGTCATAAAAAGACGTCGTTAATTTATTTTTTGCTCAGGATTGGCAGTTTAATTTTGCTTTGAAAATATTCGTTGAATATGTAAATGAATGCGAGTCTCACCTGTCGAGCGCGATGGCAACGAGATGCAATATCGATGCGGTGCAGCAGAGCACATCGCTGGACGTCCACATGTCGCAGAGTTCGGGGCCGAGCGTCCACTCGTGGCTCACCTCGTAGACCGCCCCCAAGGGCATCACCAGGCATGCAACAAGCAGGTCAGCCACCGCCAGTGATAGAATCAAATAGTTGGCGACGTTTTGCAGATTCCTTTCCAACAAAATCGCCGCAATCACAAAAACATTCCCTGAAACAAAGCAGGTAATTTATTTTATAACATAGGCAACCAATACATCACTACACTGTGTTTAAGGTTAGGGGAGAGTAGGGTAATGGGAGTCAGCGGGTAATGGGAGTCACCCATATATCCACGAAACAATAGTTACGAGTACCGCGTAAACGGCGTTCCTACCTCCGTTCTGGCCCCCCAGTGCCACCCCCGACAAATCATGCAAATCGGTGGGTGTATCATTGAGATACGCCAATATTTTATTTTTGAGCTCCGCTGATCTAATTTTACGTCCACGCAAATTAGAAGATAAGTGTCGAATATCTTGCAATATTCGAATGAAACTTTATATAGTCTTAGTTAAACATTCAAAATCGTGATGTGCAGTTCAGATTACATTAATGTTTTGAAGAAATATTTTTTGTTTTTTCACAATAGTGCAATTGTGGGCAATGGGAGTCATGCGACTCCCAATGGACGTTTTGTCTTTAGTCCGCTCTAAATGGCCTATAAAAGCAATGTGACTTATTTTTCAATAGCCTTCTTGCAGAAACGATACTGCAGGAAAGGAACAAAACTTATGATTCCAATATTGGCACTGATGACTTATGCCAGGGCGATGAGGATGAAGATTTGGAAAACTGATGTCTAATGTGCAACGATTTAAAAAAAAAACAATTAAATGTGGTTCAGATGCACTTCATGTGGGCTATGGGCTCATGTGAAATGCACTGGGTGGGACTTAGCGGAATATAATGTCTGCGATATCTGCTAGATTTCGTTTGATTCCGATTGTCTCCAGGGTGACCACCATTACCCGCATGTCGGTGTAATGGGAGTCAAATCTGTTTTTTTTTTAAACTTTAATAATATCCTAAATTGATTGTCAAAGTGACTGAAAATTATTTCAAATAATAGGTATTTAAGTAAACAATGCTTATAAGCGATTGCAATAAGTATTTTGTTTATAATTTAAATTATATTTGAGTTCTCCCTTAAGTGACCCCCATTACCCTCTTTTACCCTACCTACATTACAGTTATTTATATTATATGCGCGTAAAATGCTTTTCGTGTTTCATGTGTTTTGCTATTTGGAATGCATTGCGATTGCCTTTTTTTCTGTTCGTTTCATGTGACGCTCGAGACGTTGCAAAGCCGCGCTCAGCGAAAACGATTTTCATCCGGCCGCGCATTACAATGTGAATTGATTCGCGCCGAGGTTTTCTTTTCTCTTTCCCTGCACTACACACACATACACCACCTTCGGCAAACCCCTGGAGCGAAATCCGATTTGTTCCAGCCTTCCACTTTTCCCGTTTCGATGTATAAATAATGAATTACTGAACAGTGAACACGCTCGGTTAGGTGTGTTTTTAGGAGCGGATTCTCCTGCTGCTCAAAGAGATTTGGACAAATCACTGAGGTAAATTACACCCGAATCACATTTTATTGAATCGAAGTCAATTTAAACATTATTATTCGTCGAAAAACACAAAAAGTAGTTTTAGTTATAAACTCACGCAATTTTCCACCAGATGGCGCTTGGATACAACGCACAATTCAAGTGTTTTGATATGAAAACAGTTTATAACCTTAAAATAGTGTTTTATCGTGTGAAAATATAGTGGTATTTTATGTGCAGGCAAACAATAAGTAAAAGAATCAAATTGACCCGCTCTAATGCACTTCCAAACACAATAAACGCGACAATAAATCGTGAAATAAATCTCGATGATGTCTTTTATGATATTAAGCTCCGTCATTAAATTTGCATTAAAATTGCAACAGAGTCAATAATACCATAATAGCGGCGCATTATAAAGCGAACTGCGTACGCCGTTCATAAATGGACATCAAAGGCGTGGACGGTCATCTGATATGTGATACTGTTAAATGTATAATGAAACACAAACGTTCGCAATCCGTGCACAATGCGCCCAATTACAAATAATTCATATAATAAATTTCCCAGAATGCAGCGGACGTGAGTATTTCTAACCTATATTCATCACCAATTGCATGTAAAGCAATTATGATGGATATCTAGATGTGCGAGTATAGTGTGTATCTAATATTGTGACAATGACATCAACTAATAACGCACTGTTGACTCGGGTCAACACCGTCCATTAGTCATCAAATGTGCGAGCGGTGTTTGGTCATAATCAACACCACCAACACCCTTAACATTCAGCCACGATGACATTACGCAATGGCGACACGTCAATCCATCCGCAATCATGCGCGTTGAGTAATGGTGATGTCGAATGTTAAATGTCAAATGATGCGATGTAGTGCAGTGCGGTGGTTATTTCGGTTCATGCATGATGCTTATGCTTATGCAACACGCATAACGTAGTGGATGTAACGCGTTAGTTCAGTTTATCTCAATGTGTCACGTACATAACTTTTAGAAAGTAGTAGTTAACATCATTGTAGGGGAGATATTCTGCTACATTTTAACCTAGAGAATTACCTAGTTGCGTATGTGACCACTAGATGGCTACAGAAAATGTTTTAATAATTTTAGTTTTTTATTAATTACTCGTAAACTAATTGTGTTACTTAATTTTTTTTTGCAGCAAATTATTTATTAGTAAATTCTGTATCATTTTCAGTTATAATATGTATAATATCACGTTTTAATCAAAAGTTAAAAGCAGTTTTGTAAAATTTAACTTTAATTGTTTATAACTCATTGAAAAATTATTAAATTTTCAAAAAAATATTTCAAATAGATGTTGAATTTAATTCTTAATAGATTATTAAAAAAAATATTAATTTCGCATGAATAGTTTTTGAGTTATTCAATAAAAACTTTAATTTTTTCTGAACTTTCGCTGACAGATTTAATTATTGGTAGAAAAAGAAACCCTGCACAAACTTGAAGCCGCTAAAGTAATTGAAAGTCGGCGACGATGGTGATGAGGGTGTCGTCGCCTTGCGAAGGTAAACAGAGCGATCTATTAATGTCGAAATACCAATTAAATAAGTTTGGAGGCTTGTTAAAAAGTCACATTAAAGTGGTAAATTGCTTTCCGCGGGCGCTCAAACTTTACGCATCCAGCGCCCAAAACAAATAAAACGCATAATAAGAAATTGAAATCAGACCAGAATTACGCCTGCAAAACTAAGGTTATTTCAATAAGTATACAAAACTTGTAAATTTTAATATGATGACAAAGTTTGTTTGGTTGGTGTAAACTCGAGGGAGAAGTTATTTATGGAACATTATTCTGATGAGCTGGCTCACCTGAGAATTGAGTGTGAAATTTCTTCAGCGCACAGTTTATCACGCTTGTTACACGAGCACGAGAACGATGGATAATAATCTGTCAAGTGAAATTCACACCTCGAAAAAACCATCTGACAAGTGAAAATCAACAAGTATTCTTTTGATATTTTCAGGTTAATCATGAGTTATTGTAGGCAACCAACAATACACTAAATTATGTCTGTTTGGACATGTTGACGGTGCAAATTAAATAATAAAAATGCATATTTCGTGCATTTTTATTCATCACCCGTGTGCATCCGTGAGCTTTTCTCTCTGATAATAAAATTTCCCGTTGCTTGTTTGGAAATTGTGCGCTTTGTTTGTTTGCAACTAGCCACAGCCGGCGGTGAAAATAAACGTGAGTGAAATAAAATTCCGCGCACAAAAATGCAAAATGTAGCAGAACACGTTTATTTAATAATTTATAGTGACGCACATCATATTGTGTATTTTTCCACGTTTTTTTCACGTATTGTCATTTATTCCGCATTGTAATTCAATCAAAGCGATGCGAAATTGTTTGTTATAAAAGTATCGAACTACCAAGGGGTAAATTTATCGCAATTTATCACGTTGATAACGTCTTATTGTTTCCTTTTATTGCGTTTCCGTCATTCATTGGTAATCGTAGACTAGTCGTATGCTCGCATTAATTAAATGATGCCTTTCAAGTATTTAATTAAATAATTAATTAGGTAAGTTCGCCGCGGACGGCGTACAAAGAATAGAATAGGGATAGAATATGAAATTGAAAGCAGGATCAAAATTATCAGGGCGTGGAAAATTAAATTTTCTTGGGGTTTATTTCTATAAGAATACATAAAAGATATTTATTTCAAGGTTATGTCATTTATTTTGGTTTGATTTTTGTTTGTTCTTGAATAATATGTAAGAGGGCGCTGGCAGTGCAAGTGTAAAACTCTAACCAGTGAGAAACTGTCAAAATGCAATGTCATTGTCATTTTGACATTTATTTTGGTTAGATTTTTGATAGTTATTGAATATTACGTAAGAGGGCGCTGGCAGCACAACTGTAAAACTGTAACATGAGATTTACTGCCAAAATGAAGTGTCATTGTTATTTTGACAATCAGTTATCGTGTTTTGAGTGTGCAGGTTGAATATAATTGTAATGTTTGAGATTATAATAAAGAAAATATGATAATAATCATTTAATTAGGGTAAACAAAAGATAATTCAGTGCTCTACACGGGGATCAAATGTTTGTTATGGTGAAGAACAATAAATTCAAGAAAACAATACTTGTGGATGATCCTAACCTCAAAATGTAAGTAGAATATTGTTTTATGTTGCTACGGGAATATTTTTAGCAACAAACATGGAAAAACGCAATTTTCAAGCAGAAAAAAGTTGTTTAGTCCGAAAACTAATTTCACACTGTTGGTGAAAACTCAATATTGAACCAACATGAATTTTTGATAACTATAAAGTGCATCGTCATCATTTTCCAGCGCACATTTTTGGCAACACACATTTCCACTAACACGAAGAGAAAATTCACTCAACGACGTATAAAATTTTTACGATCCTCTTCCATCACTAAAGACAAAATAACCCACAAAAATTCCTATATAAACTAAGTCATATATTGTTATCCATCGGATAAAATAAATACTAGTTAAATAAATAAAGGTTTTAAACAATTATCTAGCCAGTGAGTCCACTGGGCCCGCCTCAAGTTTAAGTTGGCAGCCATTGTGGTACACGCCATCGTATAA